CAAACATATTTTTCCTTTGGGAATAATAGGCATGACCTACAATATAGAGAATTAGATTATTCACATACAGTGAGCTTTCATATTTTTCATATTTATCGATAGAAAAATTACCGATGCAAGTTTTGATATCTTTTTAAAGTTTTGTAAAATTGGTTTTGGTCTTCCTTTTTCAATAATCAATTTTTTCGCATCAAAATTTCTTGAGCTAAATGATAAATTTTCAATAATACAATTACAATTATTAAACATTAATTAAGGATTTTACAAACGAAAAATTTTTTATTTTAAAAAAAGTAAGGAAAAAAATATTATATAAAAAAATTTCTTTCTCTTTTTATTTATTAAAAATATTAGCATTTTTTTATTTACTTCCCCAATGCCTATTTTTTAATGGTAAACACAATACCATAGCATGATTTTCTCTTTATTTATTAAAAAAAATAAGCAATATTAAATTTGCTTCCCTCATGTATATTTTTTTTAACATAGTAAAAATAATAGTAAATTTTTTAACGTAGTAAAAATAATAGTAACTTTTTAACGTAGTAAAATAATAGTATTTCTTAATATAGTAAAAATAATATTAATCTTTTAACGTTATAAAAATTATATTAATCTTTTTAACGTTTTTTTTAACGAAGTATTTAGTACAGTACAAAGATTATATTAAGTTTATTTAAAAATTTTGTAAGAAAAATTTCAAGTATTTTAAAATAATTTTACAAAACAATATAGTAATGCTGTTGATCTCAAAAATTTATAGATGTAAATTTTTAAATATTATTCGAATACCGTGGAAATAACATCATTAGGCATTGTTGCAAAGCTACGAAAAAATCGAATTGAAAATTACGAATGAAAAATCTATAAAAATGGATATAAAATAGAAAAAAATGGATGTAAAATTTAATCCAGGTTTTGGTAAAATAATTGTTTTAGAGGAGAAATTTTGGAAAATCACAAATAAGTGTAAATTAGTTCTATATAGTAAAGTACCTCATAATTCCCTTGTAATGGAAAGGTATATAAACAGGGTTATTTATTTATAGGTTAAAATTTAGAGTTTGAAGAATTTCAACTGAAGATATATTTGGGAATGCTCAAGCAGGGATTTATGATTACAACTGATATATATGTACTACAATTTATACAAAATATTAGGTTTCATAAGTTGGATATTGAAAAATTATTATATTCATACGTAAAACCTTTGTAATAAAAATGCCTTTTAGGCTAGAATAAAACATAAATACATATAAATAAATCTTTTACAAGAAAACGCATGATAAATATAAGTAAATAAATTGTTTTAATAAGTAAATGTTTTATCATTTTTATGTGTAAAGAATGTTTCTTGATGAAATCTCAAATTTAAAATTCAATTTAGCAATCTTTGAAGAGATTATTTTACTCAAAATTTTGGGGGAAAAAGATTTTCAAAAAAAATATTATTAAAGATTTTTATAAAAAACTCCGTTAAAATATAAATTTATTGTTTGGCTAAAGACCGGAGATAATATGATTCAGGAATTCTTGTTAGCACTGTTTAGAGAATAATAATAAACTCTAATTGTTAATTATTAATTTTAACCAAAAATATATAGACCTCATTGACATATATAATACCTAGACTGACGATTCATTCATTAAAATGCATTTTTAAGCGTCGTTAAAAGCAAATCAGCTAGGCCCGCCATTTTGGTAACACATATAGAATTATTCTCATGTTAAAAACTACTATTAAATTGGTAACTTGCTTCCTTATTATCTCGATGATCCTGTAATTCTTTAATAAAGTTTGCATTCAGATTTAGGAATAAATTAGGCTCTCGTTTAAAATTTTAATAATGATTAGTGTAACCAAGATGGCGTCTCCAGCTGATTTGCAATGATGTACACTTTTAATGAATGAATCGTCAGTCTAGGTATTATATATGTCATTGATAGACCTATATAATGCATATACGCTGATATGAGAAAACGTTTTTGGATTTACATATATAATAATAATATTTAAGGATTGGTTTTTCCGCTCTCTACTCCTTTAATATATATATTATCAGCGATAATTCACCTGCTATTTAAATCAGATTGGCCTAAAATATATGATTTTAATTCTTTTTAAAATAATCTTTAAAATGTATACCTCAATTTTTCAAGGTTATAAATAATAGAGTTTTTCACTTCTAATATCAATCTATATACAATTCTAACATATAATTGATTCATTTAAAAGATTAGAAATTCAGATGGGTCATTTACACATCAATTTTTTTAAACTTTTTACTCTGCAGAATATATTATTATTTTTTTTAAATATTTCAAAATATTCAGAAAATTACACCCCGGAAAATAAATATTCACATAAAAAAATATTCCCACAGAAAAATAATTCCCTAGAAACAATTTCCCGCCAAAAAAAAGTTCGCCATTTTTAAGATCAGAAAAAAATTAATTAATTTTTTGAATAAAAAAACTCCCCAAATTAAATATTTAAAAATTTGAGAAAATCGCAGAAATAAATTTCTATTTATTTTATAAGTCTGTAAATGCCAATCTTTTTAGCCCCGGTCTAGCCTAGTCAGGTTCCGTCAGCACTAAGGTTATCCAGTCCCCGTTTTTTAAAATACAAGACCTAACCGGAAATAAATATAGGTGAGACACCAAAAATAAACAACTATTTAAATTTATAATATTGGCAAGTGGTTAAATTAAAAACACGATTAACTTTATGGGATATCAACTTCTATCAAATATCCAATGCAATGATATATAATAATACCTAGACTGACGATGCAATCATTAAAGCATTAAAAGCGTGCATCAATGAAAAACAGCTGTGGACGCCATTTTGATTACCTATATCATTATTACAAATTTTAAACGAGACGCCAATTTATTCCTATGTCCGACGCAAGCTTTATTAAATATTTGTCCGATCATCGAGATAATCAGGAAGCAATTTATAAATTTTAATAGTAGTTTTTTAACATGAGAATAATTACTATATAGGTTACCAAAATGGCCGGTCCAGCTGATTTGCATTCAACGACGCTTTCAATGAATATCAGAATTCATCGATATTCCAGGCAGGGAATTTTTCTTGCCAAGTCGGTTAATTTTTTATTTTTTTACCCCGACCCAAAATAAATAAAAATTTGAGGGTTTGCCATGTCCGGGGCATGGCGGACCTATTTTGTTTTGACTTATATTTTTAATTTTTACCCATTTAATAAAAGATGCCTATATTTTCAAATTAAAAAATTTTTTATACCTAGTTAATAAATAAACTTGATATTTATATTTTTTTGTTTGCCTTTTAATTATTTATACTGTAAATAAAACATTTTATGCAATCAAAATTATATTAAGTAAATACAAATATAAGAAACTAGCCATTAGGTAAGAGGGAAAATAATTTTCGGGGGATATAAAAAATCCACAATAAATAATTATTAGAAAATAATTCAAAATTTTTAAATATATTATTTGAATAATTCATATTTCATGGAAATTATTTATAAGAGAATTTTTTATCCTTTAGTTTTTATTAATTTTAATAATTTTTATTAACTTAAAAAAACTGGGTCCGGGAATTATTTTCATAGATTCCGAAGCCCATTAATATTAATTTTTTATCAAATTTTCATCCGATTATTTTATGGGGAAAAAAGAATATTTAATCGAAATTTTCGGCCTTCGATCTAAAAAAAAAATATGGATTTTTATCATCACCGCAACCATATTCATATGGTATTTCAATCTTAATGACTATTATTATGTTCCATCTTCTGATCAGGAAATATCAAATCAAACGGATAATGACTACTCGGAAGGAAATCCGTTTAAGATAGCAACTCGAGATTCAAGAAAAGCCCTTACCGATTACGATATAATTCTTCGACCTAATTGCAGGATATTACCATTGAATTCGTCTAAAAAGGCTTATATTCTGCCATCCTCATTTTTGAAGTTGGAATGTATATCGGACAAGAAGATTCCTTTAACTTACATCCATTCGAGTAGAAACGCGGAAAATTTAGATATAAAACATGCTTCCATTTTGAATATATTGGTGAATTCAACCGCTCTACGGCTTCATTACGAGGGTGCGGATAATTTTAAAGGTTGCGAATTCCAAAGAATATTGAGGGATACAAAATCCCTCAATCCGGACAATATCATTACATTAACGCAGCCGATTTCGTTTAAGTATCACGTGCGAGTAGTGTTGTTAAACGGCTCGTTTTGAGCCGATTTTTAAAAACGGCTAACTCAATATTTCGTTCAGAATATTAATACGCAAGCCTGAAGATTTTGTTTGTAGAAGGAACAATGGTTTGGACATCTATTACCGAAATCTCGAGGCTTAGACAATATTTTTCTGGCTAAAATATTGAATTAGCCGTTTAACAACACTACGTGCGAGTTCATATTAATTCGACTTATTTTCAGGTTCGCGATGTTGTAAATCAGAATTTCGATATTTTCGTACGGGTTAAATGTTTCGATAAAAAAAATTCGGTCATTTATCAAAATGTGCATATAGCTGCCCGTCAATCAGTGTCTCATTACGTCAAATCACAATCAACTGATAGAAAAGGTAAAGAATTAACGCCCAGGTTAAATATGTTGCTCGTGGGAATATATTCGACATCGAATAAGAATTTCGAGAGAAATTTACTTAAAACTTACCGATACCTGACTTCTAAAAGGAAAAATGTTTTTCATTTCAAAACATATTCAAAAATTGCAGATAATACGTATCCTAATCTGAATGCTCTGCTAACCGGGAGATTTATAAGGGAAAATCCAAATGGCAACGAAAATTATTTCGACAATATCAGTTTAATATGGCGCGAATACGAAAAAGAGGGTATTCCAGCATTTTCTTAGAAGACGATTCCAATTATACGACTTATAATTTTAGGAAAAAAGAATTTTATAAACCACCTTGCCATTTTTATTTCCAGCCATTTTCTCTGGAATGGAAACGATTGATGAGATCATTATCATCTCTAAAATATTGTTCTGTGTATGGTAAAAATGAGGTCGAAATGATGCTAGACTACTTCAAAGTGTTGATAGAAGAAATTGAGGAATCGAACCTACCCTATTTCAATTTCAAATTTATCACTCGTTACACGCACTCCGACATGCAAGGGCTGGGTGTGCTAGATGACCTTTTGTACGAATACTTTGAAGGCCTAATACAAAATGGTCGCTTAAAGAACACTTTTATTTTCCTATTCGGTGATCACGGTTTAAGATATGGACCACCAAGACAAACTTTGGATGGTAAGATTAAATACCCGTATACATTTTTTTAAAAAAATATTAATTAAATACCGTTAATCAGGAATGTTAGAGAATCGTATGCCTTTCCTTCTAGCCATTCCACCCGACAACTTCTTCACAGATTTCGATCAAAATGATACCATATTTAGAACTAACACCCAACGTCTAGTAACGGCTTTCGACATCCATAAAACATTGCTCAATTTACTCGAGATCACCAATGGTAAAAAAAATATTCTCTAACCATATCAGATCAAACGTCCACATATTTAGGTGCAAGAGATACTACCAAGGGTATTAGTTTACTGGAACCGATACCCATGAATCGCACTTGCGAATCTGCTTTTATATCCGCAGATTACTGCCCCTGCAATTGGATAAAAATGGTTCCACCAAAGGTGTTCAATAAAATTATCTCTGGTAACGATATAGATGCCTTGTATACATCTAAGCTGATTAGATATGGTGTTGATTTAGCCATTAAAAGTATCAAAAATATTTTATCAAGTTATCGCCATATTTGTCTAGTAGATGAATTGGAATTAGCTACTATAATTTATGCCATTTTGATAACAAATAATAATGTGACTAGTGATCAAGATCTTAAAATGCTGGCCGCATTGAACATAAACACGAACGTTAATGACGCAGTCAAAATAAGTGACATCGATGAAACTCGACTGCCAAAAGTATTCGGGTTGATAAAGGGGTTCGTATTGGCATTTAAATTCTCACCTAATCAAGTGGCTTACGAAACGACTATAGAATTTTATCAGCAAAATGCAACCAAAATTTTCAAGAAGATAAAAGTAATATTCCCGCTTGACGCTTACGAGGTCCGCTCGTATTGCACAAAAGTTAATCGCATTAAACCCTTTTGACATTGTAGATCTTAAACTCATATTTATAAATAGTTGAGGTCAAATGGACAGGGTTATGACTGCTCTACAAACAGAGTCATGCAGCATTTCAGATCGATTTTAGAAACATAGAGAAAAATCTAATTATTTTGTCAACCAAATGGGTTTAGTTATGGTTAGGCAGACAAAATAAATAGAATCCAGTTGATCTGAATATAGGTAACTAATTTTTTAACTAATCAAAATTAGAAAAGAAAGAAAGAAAGAAAGAAAGAAAGAAAGAAAGAAAGAAAGAAAGAAAGAAAGAAAGAAAGAAAGAAAGAAAGAAAGAAAGAAAGAAAGAAAGAAAGAAAGAAAGAAAGAAAGAAAGAAAGAAAGAAAGAAAGAAAGAAAGAAAGAAAGAAAGAAAGAAAGAAAGAAAGAAAGAAAGAAAGAAAGAAAGAAAGAAAGAAAGAAAGAAAGAAAGAAAGAAAGAAAGAAAGAAAGAAAGAAAGAAAGAAAGAAAGAAATAAAGAAATAAAGAAATAAAGAAATAAAGAGAGGAGAGAAGAGAAGAGAAGAGAAGAGAAGAGAGAGAGAAGAGAAGAGAAGAGAAGAGAAGAGAAGAGAAGAGAAGAGAAGAGAAGAGAAGAGAAGAGAAGAGAAGAGAAGAGAAGAGAAGAGAAGAGAAGAGAAGAGAAGAGAAGAGAAGAGAAGAGAAGAGAAGAGAAGAGAAGAGAAGAGAAGAGAAGAGAAGAGAAGAGAAGAGAAGAGAAGAGAAGAGAAGAGAAGTGGAGCCGTCTGAACCCGAAGCGTTGACCGAAAACTATAATAATACGATATGTAAAAATACCTTTAATATTAAGTTTGTAAACTCGTAGATAATAAATTTTTACATATAATTCTATTTATATTTATTTAATAAAATCAATACTTTCATCACTTAAGGCTTAACAGTTGGGTAGGGATTAAGAGGTAAGATAACAAAATTCTATTTTGTCATTTTTGAGTTAAGGTCTATATCTCTGGCTTATCCATTAGAAAAATTTCTTTGACATTAGCGATCTCTTCGACACTACCGCTCACGATTCGGTCATCTGTGAACCACTGTTAAAGATCTAGCTGACAGATACTTTTAATTTTGTTTACTAAATTTGACAATCCCAAAATAAAATATAATTGTTTGAATTACTTTTTGATGATGACAGTTTATATTCTTTCGTATTGTGAGAAGGACTAGCGTAGGAATTGGCCAAATGAATGACGGAAAGCTTGCAACAAAGGATTTTATGAAAATAGACCATATTATGGTTTTAAAAGCATTGTTAAAATCAATTAATAATAAGGTGTTTTTTATGGGTTTTCTTTGAAGAAATATGAGGGTACCACCATGATAGACCTATTCGCAGCCACTTGCTATACTCTCCCCCTAGCTGAGTCGAAATGATACTTTTGGAGCCTTTCTCGTGAATTAGAGCCGGAATCAATTTTAATACCAATTTCCTGAAGAGAATACCTATGGGCAATTGGGCTCAAGTTTTTGTTGGGTTGGATTTAACGGGATTAGTTTTACTTCAAATAGCATTGGTTGGGCGAAAATCGATACGCCTCAAATGTAGGATCCAGTAGCCAAAAAATTGTTACACTGTAAGAACTTGAGATGAGAGACGGATAAATTAGATCTTGAAAATAAATTTGTCTCGAGGCTCTCAAAGCCATTGCCCTTATCTTTTTTAAAGGTACTAAATAACTTTCCTCACTTTATTTTGTTGAGAATTCTGTTGGATAAAATATTAGAATTACATTTGATGATTCTAGCTACCTGATGTGGGGAGTGCTTTCGAAGCTTACTATATAATTAAAAAAAATTAGGTAGATTTTCTTGTCGTCCGTCAAAAAATAAAAAACATTTTAAAAAACAAATTTTTTTTTAAAAAATATATATATATTAGCGTTAATGTGTTTTGTTCCGGCCAGAGTTGTTAAAGTAGCGCGCTAACTTTTTTGGTAGCTATAGCTAATAGCGGCTACTTTTTTGTAATTATTTAATTTTTTAGCGCGCTACTTTTTTTGAAAGTAGCTAAGTAGCCGCTACTTTTAAAAAATATAATGAAGGTAAGTGTAAACATGAAAATTAAAATATAATTTCATAATTAATTATAATTTTTATGATTTATTGTTTAATTTTGAAATTAAAATATAATTTCAATTTGTAATTTATATTTCATTTGTATTATAAACCTAAATCACGTGTTAATAATTTAAAATGTCATCGCCTATGGATATCCAAATCGTTGAAAGTGATTCAGACAATGAATGTAATGGAAGATACCAGGAAAGAAAATGTTCTTAGTAGCTATAATACAAATTTCCCATTCCCTAGATTTGAAAATTTTTTAAAATAAATATATAGCCAAAACTGGTTTCAAATTTATTTATTTAAAATGTAAAAAAAAATATTTCCTCAAATCAATCCAGTAGCTATAACCTCAAGAAACACCTAAAGGTAAATTGTCATTTTTACATTCTAATAATATTTATTTTATAAGACTATTCATGAGTTTTAAGGAAATCGAGAAACATCTAAATAATTTTGGTATAGGCGACTCTACATCTAAGAAGACTAATTCAATTCAAAACAAATTAATTAATAATGCAAATGACAATATTTCTCAGAAATTGGCTGATAAAGTTATTGTTGATTTTATAATTTATACAGTTCAGCCAATGTACTTAGTTGATAATCCATCATTTACCATGATAATTAAAACTCTATCACCTGGTACAACAATTTTATGCCGCCAGACACTAATGAATAAAATAGCAGATAACTTTTAAATGATGAAAGATGCTCTAATAGTAGAGTTATCAGAGATATCATATATATGTACCACGGGAGATAGTTGAACACATAACAAAAGGTAAAAATTTATTTATATTTATAAATTGATCTGATTAAATATTTTTGAGCTTATTTGGGAATCACAGGCCATTGGCTAGACCTAGAACTTTAAAAAGAAGATCTGTGGCATTAGCCCTCAAAAGGATAATAGGATGCCAGACATACGATGTACTTGCAAATAAAATTATTGATAATCTATCTTACATTAAAAATATGTATATAAGATTAAATACGCCCTTACCCTCAAGTGCTAGTGTCGAGAGATTATTTAATAAGGCAAAGCTCTAGACTTGGGGATGATAATATTGAAATGATTTTATTATTAAAATGCAACAAATTACCATAAATATTTATTTTTATTACCTAAATTTTTTTTTTATAATCAAAACTAACTATATTTTAATATTCATAAATGTTGATTTTTATATATTTACTGTGTACAATAACATTATAAGCAAAAAATAAAAAATCTGTTCGTAAATTTATTTTATAAAAAGTAGTTTAAAAAGTAGCTAATAGCGAGCTACTTTTTTTGACAAATAGCGATAGCGGTAGCGCACTACTTTTTTTTAACAAATAGCGGTAGCGGTAACGCGCTATTTTTAAAAGTACCGTTTAACAACTCTGGTTCCGGCAATGTATTATTTTTTCAACTTTAAATCAACTTTTGAGGCCATTTTTAAAAATTTAAAAATCTGATTTTACCGGAAATGTATGCCGCCATGTTTGGAATACCTACCCTATGAATTTCAGACAATTTTTCCATGAACTTTTAAATTTAATATAATCTATATTAGATTTTCCATATATTTTTTTTTATATAAATTATTGATGACTCAAAAGTTAATAGCAAAATTGTCTACAATTCGTAAGATAGGTATTCCAAACATGATAGAAGGCATTTCCGGTAAAATCCGATTTTTAAATTTAAAAAAAACGCGCTCGAAAAATGATTTTATTATAAGTTGCCAGAAAAAAAAAACACATTGACGCTAACTTATATAAAAAAAAACGCTAAAGGGTGCTCATCTGGCTGATGAATTGATAGATAGTGTCGCATAGTGTTGTTAAATGGCTCATTTTGAGCCGATTTTTAAAAACGCCTAACAGTAATTTATCCATAAAAATATTACGCAATCCTGAAGATTTTTCTCATAGATGGTATTCAAAAGTCTAGACATCTATTAGCCAAACCTGGAGGATTATAAGAAATTTTTTTTCTGGCTTAAATATAGAGTTTTAGCCGTTAGCCGCATGCAGATCTCAATTGATATCCGTCGACGTAAATATATCCTTCCTGGGGGTAACCCGAAATTAGGAGTAATTACTGATCTGAATCGGTTCATTCAAGCCCGGCCCGTAATTTTTTTATTTAAATAAAATATTGTCCGGTAGGGGTCCAGATGCCAAACTAATTTATTATTTATCCCGAAAAAGCTCGGTCAAAAAAGTTAAAATTATTTGTCCGCCCCGGCAAAAATCTAAGGAAGAACCTTTCAAAACTTCCCTCGAGGAGGAATTTGAAGGAATGTTGGGAAATTTCCATAAATGTCGGGAAGATAAATGATAGGAAGTTTTTAAGAACTTTTATCTTTTCATAGGTTTAGAGGCAGCGTTAGATAGAGCTCCGTGGTTCGATAATTAGCTTGACTTTTGGAATATCGCTACTTGCTCAGTAGAGCAGGGGACAAGAGAAATCTTATAAGCCCCAATTTTATTGGAGATGGTCAAAATTTGAGTTTTGAATCAAAGGATTTTTTTTAATTTTAAGTTCTAGCTCTAATAGCATGTCTTGAAAAATTGGAATAGAAAAGAAGAACGAAAGGCACGCTTCATTTTTTCTGGGGACAGATGATTTTTAATGTGAAAAAAAAAACATGAATAATAAGGTAAAAAAAAATTTAGGGTTTTTTTTGAAATCGGTGGAATTTGTTTAAGAATTCCTCTGTAAATTTGGACATTGCTTATTTGCCCCCGATTAGTGAAACGACGAATGAAACTATATTTCCCGATTATTGAAATGTTTACAGGTATTGGAATATGAGTTAATAGTAGTGTTGTTAAACGGCTCGTTTTGAACCGATTTTTAAAAACGGCCTACTCAATACTTTACCCAGAAAAATACCGCCTAAACCTCAAA